CCTATGATTTTTCCTATAGTCTTCCAGATTTGTGTAGATGGCTGTGTTAGTAAGATATTGAGGAAGACATTGTTGACAATTTTCACTATCCAAAATGACAATGACTTTTCATAAAAAAGGGTAAGAATTATGAATGATAGGAGAAAGCCTATAAGCAGTATTTTAATTCAGTAGCAATATCCTCCTATAATCCACAGAAGTGATACTAAATTTAACACCATGGGTGTGTCTAATTTAATGAAAAGAAGAACTAGGGAGTGATATGATATTAGTGTTCCAATAGTTGAGGGGCTGCCACTAGGAAGAGGAAGTCAATATATTCTCCAAAGCACCTGAAGGCAAGACAAGAAGCAATGACTAGAAAGTAATCAAGGAGAGAACCAACTTAGAACTAAGGAAATTTAGAACAATTGATCAGTGGAAGAAGTTATCTCCAGAAGTTTTGGGTGCTCCAGCACTGGAGATTGTAAAGAAATTAGACAACCATTTGTCTGAAATGATATAGGATTCCATGTAGGTATCCTATAAGCAGGGGGTTGGAGTAAAAGATCACCAATTATGTTATTCTGTTAGTAGCCTGCAATAATAATATAGCAGAAAAATAATTATGTTGTCAATATCTACATGTGTGGCAACTGATTTTTACTGTCGCACATCATATGACATCCATCGGGAAACAATAGTGCCTTCTTTTAATTTAGCTTTGTCACTTTTGGTAGATGCATGGCATCTACCAGTATGTTTTCTGCTTGTATGCAGCCTTTCATAACATGGAAGGTTGAAGTTAAATCCTTTATATTTTAGTTGAATTGCTGTGAGGGCTGAATGTTAGTTTCAGTTGTTTCACATAAAATGAAACAATATACAGGGAGTCCTCACTAATGGCCACAATTGGGTCTGGAATTTTGATTGTAAGTCATTGGGGTTGTTAAGTGGGTTCAATGTAACCTGATTTAATTTAATAACCATTTTTTATAATGGTCATCACGTGACCTCATAGTAACTAAGTCATTATTAAGCAAATCCATTCTACTGAATGGGCAATTTTTGCCATAAATGGGGGGAGGGGTCACAAATCACTGTGACATGATTGTGAGATGCTGCAACCAGTCATAAATATGAGCTAGTTGCTAACCATCTGAAATGTAATCAATCACGACCATGACTTTTTTTGAGTCCATCATAACTCTGGCCAGTAAGCTATAGAGATTCTCAGTCATCCAAGCCATGGTTGTCCCAAAGGTGCTTTTTTCAAAAGGCAATTGAACAAGAGCACCTTTGGGATAAACAGTCATTGCCTATATAACTAACTTGCTTATATCTTCTACTTGCTTATTCTACTTACTATTTTTAGTCTTTAGTTGCATTTAATCTTTTTTTTTCCTTTAAGATGTTGAATTTTTAAAAATACATTAAGTTATAAGAAAAGATGATAGTGAAGATTTTGCAGGATAAATTAATCACTATGTTTTTCAATATCTTGTTAATTTTTTTAAACTAAAATTGATCTAAATCAATCTATTTTCTGTTAGCAATTTTCCTCTGTCTGTTATTTGAAAGTATTGCCCAACCTCATTAATTATTATTAAAATCCACCTATCTCAATGAGAAAAGGAAAAGATCTCAATGAGAAAAGGAAAAGATTTGTATTACCATGAATTTTAAATATTGCCATTTCTGTATATTGCACAATTGTTTAAAATTGTATAGCAGTTGTTAGACCAACTTTGGTGTCAAGATTGAGGTTGATCCTTCTCAAGCAATCAACCTCAACCTCTCAAGCAATATATCTCCCCCCCCCCCGAGGTTTTCCATAAAACTATCCTTGTACCACATAAAGCAAGCATGAGATTGCTGTTCCCATTTTTCTATAAATCATAAAGTAGCATAAAGTATTAACAAGCTAATTGGTGTTGCCCTCTTATAGTGAATAAATTCATTGGTCTTAATGTTATTAATCATAATAGAGTTTCATAGCTTAGACTGAAGTCTGTTGGATGCAGCTCTTTAAGTGTGCATACTTAGTTCAGAGAAGAAGAGGGGGTTATTTGTTTCTATTTCCTCTGTTTGGAAACAGTTCCATCAATGGAAACATACAATTGGAATTGCAAAGGGCAATGCGAGAGGATGTAATAAGATTGCTTTCCTCTCCAATGTTGAAATAATTTCAGTTGCCCTTGGTGCTATGCAGCTTGACTCAGAAATGTAGAGGCTATCTGACTCAAGCTGTAGAATTTCTCGACCCATATTGGGAACATTCAGTGTGATTGTCATGACCTATAAATAGGTCTTACTATATCTCGGGGTAGAACTACTCTAGCCAACTGAAACTTAGAAGATGAGCTATAACTTTGAAGTTTCCTGCTAATTTCTTTTTTTTTTTTTTTTGAATTCTTGGACTGAAAGTCAAAATTTCAGTTGTGCCACAGTTTGCAGTTAGAAGGGTATGCTTGTGTATGCACATCTGTATGTTTTTTTGTGTTGTGTGTGCATGTCTATAGAGATAAAGAGCTATGAGATATTGGAGACATTTGAAATAAATATAGAATTATGTGGTTGATTGCCTAGCAGTAATGTACTATTTCAATAGATCTAAAAGTTTTATAATAAACTGATCTATGTTACATAATCTAGTCTTATTTTACTATAAAATATACGTATAGTTACATATAATAAGAAAGCAGGCTGCCCCTCAGTCAGGTAAAGTCCTAAATATATCATCAGATCTTTTGTTATTTCACAATAAAAAAATTTAAATAACATTTTCATCTTCAGAAATTACTTTTTATTGCTTTATTTCCTTTTTCTATTTTTATATCCAAAAAAGCAGTCAAAAATCTTTAATAACTTTCTCCTTTTAGCAACTGAACGTGGTAGTTGCAGAATTGTTAATCGTCTGCATAATGTTTTATTGTGCACTTTTTCATTTTTATAGTATTTTCCTACTGCTGTTGTCTTTTAAAAACATTAAAGGAGTTCAAACAATTATGTTAACTATAATAACAATGTTGTGCCCCCAATGTTGAAATAAGCTTCTTCCAGTTTAGGCTTGGCAACATCCAGTGATGTTTTTGCATAAACATATATTTCAGGTCAATGCTGATCATAGTAGATCTGGATTAGAATCTCACATTTGCAAGGTGAGAAATCTTATGCTATAACAATGAGGCAATTCTTGATGATTCCTGGCACAGTGCCTGATGGGATATCAAGAAATATTCTGGTGTTTTATTTAAAGACTAGATTAGCAGATTTTTAATCTGTAATTTCTACAAGTGCAGAGGTGGGAGAGAACTTGAATTCTGCAACTAACGTGCAGTTATAAAACAAATATATGTAATCAGCTGAAGGATAATGAATTGAACTTACTTTATAATTAGCACCAAGTGTTTTGGAGATTGTAATTGTTCCCTTGTGATAGCATCAACCAATCATTTCTATGAGTTCTTATTTTTATGTCATTTGCTTAGAATTAGAGAGCGGTCTTAAAAGGAACTGTTTGGAATTACTTCACTTAGATTATGCTGAGCTTCTGAAAGACTCAATCTGCTAAGCCTCTGGAGAAATCTCTAAATACTACTTTAACAGGATGATCTGGTCCACAATAAAACCAAGCAAGTTTTGTAGGATGCATTTTATACATTTTTCTATCAATTCCTACAATTCTGGCAGAAACATTTTTTAAAGAACAGACTAGAGATACTAATTTATTGCTTTGGAATGTATACCATTTTTGTGATCATTCCCGCATACCAATACAATCAGTAGTAGTTCATATGATGAAATGCTGAGGATACTGCCATCATCTACTGATACTACTTTACATATATTATATACTTTACAATATTTGTGTAGACCACCCAATTAACAATAATATAGTAAAATAGAACAACTGGGCAAAATTGCATTATTGGTTAATTTCCAGATCAAATTTCTCAAGATTTTGTAATATATTCTGATTTTGTTACTATGAAAATAAAGATACTAAGAATGTTAGTGAAATAATCAATGTATTTAAAATAATGTTTCCTCTGATCAACATTATTAAACATAAATCTTTGATTAGGTGAGTATGTTGTCATGTGCTATGTGGTTTTGGGATATTTGCATTTTTATTCCACTTTTGATGAAAATGAATGTTAATTATACATTGTACATTCTTTAATAAAAAGTTAATGCATAGAGATGGTCTTTTGTTTCGGTCACATCAAATTTTCTTCAAGATGTGATGAGGTGCATATATCCCTAGAGTACAATTGGAAACAGTATGACCTGTTTTTGAGGAATGGAAAAATCTTGTCCTGTTTCTAAATGTTTTGGGGAGAGAAATGTTCCGAGGTGGTGGTAGTGATGTTATTTCAGTTTGCTTTATTGCCAGGTATTTGACACTGAGTTTTAAAAGAATAAAGTTTATGGCAGCCTTTGGAAATTACCAGCTCCAGGGAATCTCAGTTTCCTGCTGTGAAAGTTTCTATTTTCAAAGCACATCACTTTTAGCAGGAATGTTACCATAGTCCCATATCCTGCTTCTGACAGAGAGCTGGATTTCACCCCTGAATATGAGACAGCTACTGAAGAGGTTTCCTTGCTGCTAACAAAATGAATTTCAATATGTTGCCAGTGAACAATCAGTCTGTTCCCAACAGCTAATGGAATTTAGCTGTATCGGCTATTAATGAAAACAGTCTTGTTTTCTTTTCTAACTTCAGTACATGCTACCAATACCCCAGTTTGTGTGTTATGGAGCTGGAAAGGAATAACCAAAGCAACATGCAACTTCTCTTCCCCTTCCTTACAAACTCTTTTTTTTTCTTACTCTCTCCTTGACCTAGCAGTAGGAAGCCTTTGTCTGAGGTTTTCATCTGGAACAACTTTTCCACACTTGTTTTCGTGTTCTGTTAGATTACAGGGCAGCAGGCCTACCTTTGAAGCTCCTTTCTCTTTTGTTTCTCTGCTGTGCACTCCAGTAATTAACTTTGTCCTTCTTTTATTTGTTCCAGTCAATCGCAGTCCACTCTGCTGAGCATCTTCTCCCAGGAGTACCAGGTTAGAAGTTTTCTCCTTTGTGAGGGTTGACAGGTGCCTAATTGAATGATGAATGTCCCTTTATTTCTTTGTAATTGAACTGCCAGCTTTCTGATTGGTTTGGAGGATGTTCCCCTTTCCCCATCAAGCACCGCCTGAGTCTCAGTGGATGGCTGCCAAGCCTACCCATCCATCTGTCTAATAACATCTAGCCTTTGCTTATTTGGTGGACCTGTAATAAATTATGCTAAACCATTATTATTCTGACAATAATAATTTCCCTGTGTTGCGTGGTTCCATGTGCTAAATGTTTGCTGACTTGCACTGTCAGTGCTGCTTTCCATGGCTGACAGAGATGATGATAAATGACCATTGCCGGAGTGGCAGAAGGCAAGAGAGGCAGAAAATGGAGTCATTTATCATGAGATGACAGGTGTCAGTCAAGTGGCAAGTCTCAATGGAATTACTTTCTGTAGTTTTCAAATAAGTTGTTTTTAAACAATGTTCTTCCTGGTTAAAAATGCCAATTGAATTGTAAACCAGAGTGCACAGGACTTGGATGGAATTGATTTGAAGGGAAATTAATATAAAGGTTGAAAGAGAGAACAAGTTTTTCCTTTGCCCTTTGTAACCCTAAGCAAACTTATTTAGATTCAATTACTATGACCTTACTGCCTTTTACATATATGCTGTATCGCACTACAGTCAAAAGATGTTTCATTTAATATATAAATAAAAAATAATTTCTGAAATTACATCTAGGATTTCACAGAGGAAATGAAAGTGGGGGGAAGTTTCCAGGGATTTGTTACTGGTCGAATTTCTTACTTGGTTTATTGCAAAGCTTTTTTTTACTGTTTCAGAAATTAATCAAAAGAACGCATGCAAAACATCATACTCCAGAGGCAACTGACACTTATTATCAAAGGTATGAGCTATTCAGAGCATTGGATGATGCATGTTCATATGTGATTCAGGTCATGGTGTTCATTTTTAAGGATATATATGCTAACAGTCCTGTTTTCTGATTAGTTAGAGTTGTAATTCCACCCTTGAATTTTCTAAAAATAAATGGCAACTAACCCCTGAGAAGGTCTGTAGGATCACAATCCAATCACTCTGGGCATTGTACATTTTTCATTTAGTACATACAGGTGATCTTAGTCTCACCTTCTTAATTGAGGATTTTGGTTTTAATTTCTTGCAGACTTTTTAATTTCATATTCTAAGGTGTTTTTGAGAATTTACCTACTAGTTTTAATATGCTAAACGATAGTAATGGTGCTTAAATATCAACCATGTTGACGGAGAAAAAAGTCTAGAATCTTATCCAGTTAAAAAAAAACGGCATAGAAATTGAGAAATGTTACTATTTGCTTCATAAACAGAGTTATCATAAAGCCTTTTAAAATAGCCGTAAACCTTTACTATATCAGTTCATAAAACTGTTTCTGATTATGTGCACCTGCAGTTAATAAAATGTAATTGAAATTAGTTATAGGTTATTAGTATTTCTATTGACATAGACATCTCCACAACATAATTACATTGTAAGGCTATCTGGATTGGATATTCAATTGAAATGTTACTGTTTAGATTGAATAAAATGAATAATGTTTTTGGCATGTAAGATTGTACCTTGATATCTGAGATATATATTTTATTAGTTTCCTTTTAATTAAAAAGCTTATATATACATATATATATATATATATATATATATATATATATATATATATATATATATATATATATATATATATATATATATATATATATATATATATATGTATTATACATACATATACATATATAATTTTATATCACATTTTCTCCTAAAGGAGTACTATATTATTTGTGTTTAAACCATTTTAGCACATGAACTTCATGCATTTGTTTATTGCTAGATTAAGAGAACTATATTGAACTATCTGAACTGTATTGTAAGCATTGAGTAGCAATTTTCTCTTAGAATTGTGTGTTAAATGTATGTGTGTGTATATTTATAATAAATATTGGAACAATACAAAATCATGATGCACTTTCATTATATAGTATGTTATATACATTGCTGCTTGTAAGTAATATTAAAAGTACTTAATCTATTACTTTGGTTGAAAGAAAAATAACTAAAAACAACCAGGTTACTTTAATAATTAAATAAAGCTAAATATATAAATAAAATGCACTTGGTGAGCATAAATTAGAAATTATGTCCATAGTGATTCAGAAGCATGAAAGCCTAATGAACATTAAGGAACTGTGTGATCAATAGCATTAAATCCATAGATTTTAGTTAGAATTTAATGTTCCTGGTCTTGATATACAGTTTATAATATTAAACTAGATTTATAGTGTAACAGTATACATGTCTGTTCGGAAATAAATGAGTTGAATAGAGTTTATTCACAGCTAGGCAGGTATGAAATTGCAATCTCTAGAAGACTGTTCCAGTTATGATATTATTTTAGATTAAGACCTGTTTATTTTGTTACCTAGCATATGGACATAGGCACTTGGCAGATATCAAAGAGTTCAAAAAGTGTGCCTGTTTGTTTCATAGAATCATAGAGTTTGAAAGGACATTAGCATCTTTCAAGTCTAATCATCTGCCCATAGTAGAAACCCTCAGACCATCTCAGACAGATGACTGATAAACTTTGCTTACAAACCTCTGGTGATAAAGCAGGCTGTTCTACTAATTAAAATGAGGATTTCCCTCCTTATTTCAGGTGAAGATCACTCTCTTTAAAAATTCTTTTCTCTATTTTTGTGCTGCTCTCATTGCACTATGGAGAAAGCTATACACTTTTCTCTGTGACAATTCTTCACATGGTATGCCACGTGTGATCTTCCCAGTGCAGCATAGAATGGAATGATCACTTCCCATGATCTTGCCATTTGTATCTCAATTAATGCAGTCCAAGGTTGCATTGACTGTTTTGGTAGCTGCAGCACACTGGTTTTCATGCTTAATCCATAGTTTGCCAATATATTTGGATGCTTCTCCAAAGTATTACTTCTAAGCCAGGAATCATTTGTTTTGTAACCCATGCATCTGCTTTTTTCCTACCTAGAAGAGAATATTACTTTGCTCCTCAGTGGGCACTGTTTTGATGGAAAGTGCCCAGAGTTGAAGTCTATCAAGATTTTTTTAAATCTTGAACTTTTCTGAAGTCTTAGCAATCCCCCATCTTTGTGCCATCCTCATATTTTATGAGTATACCTTCTGCTTCTTCATCTAAATGATTTATAAAAATGTTGAAAATCATTTCTAATATTTATAATGTGCCCATTATTTTGTGTCTGTAGCAAACCATACCCATACAAACCAGACAAAAACAAAATCATGAATTAAAATGAACAATTGCTTCATTTATAAAAATAATTAAAATTATGGTGATAGAAAGGTATGATTAGGCTTTAGGTACTAAATTCCAAAAATAAGATGAAACAGCAAATCTTATAACAGAATAATATAGTTGGAAGGGACCTTGGAAGTCTTTTAAACCAATCCTGCTCAAGCAGGAAACCTATATCATTTCAAACAAATGGTTCTCCAATCTCTTTTTAAAACTTTCAGTTTCGCAGCACCACAATTCTGAAGACAAGTGATTTCACTGAATAATTCTTCTATCAGGAAATTTCTCCTGATTTCTAGGTTAGTTCCCTCCTTGATTAATTTTATCCATTGCACCTTGTCTTATCCTCAGGTGCTTTGAATAATGGGTTGACTCCCTCTTCTTTGTGGCAGCCCCTTAGATATTGGAACAATCCTATCATGTCACCCCTATCATTTCTTTCCATTAAACTATACATCATTTTCTGGCTCCAAAAAACAGGTGTCAAGTTGCATTGATAAGTTGCATTGACACAAAAGCCTAACCTCCATAGGAAGAATCTTCCAGAATCAAGAGATCACAGCAAAGAAGAACTATCTCTTGAATCCCCCATAATGGCTCTCTCAACCAAGGAAAAATTAGAAGGGATCCTGAAGCAAGTGATAACACATTAGCTGTATATTAGGAGGCCACTCCCTAATATATACTTACATCAGTACTTTGAGTAAAATATTTGTCTTTTCTACCGTAAAAAATTACATCTTGAGAATGTAAAGGTGTCAATGGAATCAATTTCGAATGTGAGATTTTCAAACTTGCATTTGCTTGCTATTATTGCTTGTTAATATAGATTATTCTCCTTTTTTCACTGTGGACTCTGAACTCATCAGTATTAACTTCTCTGTTATTCAGATAAATCAATTCCCACACATTAATTTAAAGATAAAATTTATGTAGGACTTTTAACTTGGATAAAATCCATAATGTACATTGAATTATGGCATAATTTAGGAGACATTGGTAAAGTCTGATTGTCAACTTCCAAACAGAAATACTAAGAAGAAGGATATGCTTTATGCATATAATTTAATGCAGAAATGTGTTTAAGACAAAGTGTGGCTGCCTAATTATAATTCTTCTCATTAACATGATGAAAAATTAATATTTCTACTGCATCATTTTTCAGTGGCCTTGTACCTATAAATTATCAATTTCTTGGTAATTTTTTGTAGTTTGTATATCGGGATTATCATGAGTTCTTTAGTCATGATATTTATGCCATGGTCCTATACACAATAATAATTGCCAGTTTAATATGAATACCATTATTCTGTTAAGTGTCTATTAAAATATATCTATAGTAACGTAGTAAAAATTAACTTGGTGTTGGCTTGATTTTTAATGACAGCTTGGACACATCACGAACTTTTCTTGGCAGGATTTCAGAAATAGTTTGCCATGCTCTTCTTCCACATATTTTACCCACTTCCCAATCTTGCCTGCACTCTGGTAATCTTCCATCTAAATACTAACCAAGTGTCATCCTTTTTGTTCTACTTTTATTCCAAGCCCAGAGACAAGTCCAAGGAGTTACTGAAAATTCTAGAGATACTTGCTTCCTTAAAGAAGGAGATTGTAAAATGATACAACAATTATCTAATCTTGCTGAAATTAGGGAAAATATGTATGTAAATAAATGCTATTTTTTTTAATTACTTACTAATTTGCATGCTGCCCTCTCACTAATAAGGCAACTGTAATTATGTTAATACATAAAGTACTCTATAAATCAACAAACCATTTTAAATTGTTCTCCAGTTTGATAAACTTGACTCCACTGTCAGTAGTCTGTATAAAAATAGGTACTATTTTTTTCTTAATGCGGGGTCATCTTCATTTCTTTATCAGTTATATATTTTTGTTGTTTCCAAGAGCTACCGGTAGCATTTTAGGAGAGAAATAATAAAATCTTCCTTCTTTAATTAATGATGTAAATTCCAAAGGCAAGTTGCTTAGTGTTTCAAACCTGCACTGTGAGCAATCAGGGTTTGATAAGATTACATGAAGTGAGAATTACAGGTCAGGAAGTTCATAGCATGGAAATATCTTTGTTCCCTTGTGACTATAATAAAGCTATTGTAAACACTGAAATAATTAGATGATAAACACCCATTTGACTTATATGATTTCTTAGTGATTTCAGCCAAACTCAATTTTAGAGTTTTGCAAAGCACTTATTAAGAAAGATTTAGAAATATCTAACTTCTAACTATTACCATTAGGGAATAAACAGTACATTTAGTTACTCCTGCAGCATATACATGGCTTTAGTTGTTTGAATTTTATTTTTCCATTTCCACCCTGTTTTTCACTTGAAAAAGCTTACAGAAAGACTAATAATTGTTTGAGCTTTCTATTATTGTAATATCAATAATTAGAAAGTGCTAAAGAGAGCAAGAACTTTTGTAAAACTTCCTTTAAAAAAAATAACAAGTAGTCTTTCTTGTTTACCTTGTTGCAGTTGCTGTTAGAAAACACTGAGGAATTCATGATTGTCATATTACAGATTTCTGATTCTCTGCTAAGC